AAAGTTGCTTAAAAATAGACTCCCAGGCCCTGGCTGGTGTGGCTCAGTGGATTGAGTGTCAGTCTGCAAACTAAACGATCGAGGCTCAATTCCCAGTCAGGACACATGCCTGGGTTGCAGGCCAGGTCCTCAGTGGGGGCCACATAAGAGGCAACCACACATTGATGTTTCTCTCCCTCTCTTTCTCCCTCCCTTCCCCTCTTCCAATAAATAAATAAATAAGTAAATAAATAAATATTAAAACTTTAAACAATAGACCCCCAGGTTCACCCCTGGGAAATCCCGATTCAGTGGTTGCTGGACGGAGATTTTCCCTGGGAATCTGCATGACCAGGGTGGGACCAATGCGGGCAGAGCACAGCCACCTTCAGCCTGGCTGGTAGAGGCCTTGGCACTTGAGCCTCTGCTTGCCTCCCCACTCCCCAGACTGGTCCCAAACTGCCTCCTGGTCCTCACACCTGTCCTGCTGTCTCAGCTGAGTGGCTGGCTGTACATACTGTCCCCCAGCCCGGGAGGCCCTGTCCTGTCCGAGCGTCACACACATGCCCCCTGGCCGCTCACTCGCAGCGCCAGGGCAGTTGCAGTCACCAGCTGTCCCCATCTCTCCTGTGCCCAAATCTTCCTCTGTCCCCCAGACCCGGCTCCCTGCTGCCCACAGGGGCTGCCACTCCCAGTCAGTAAAGCCCAGGGGTGGCATTTTAGTCCCTTTTTGTCCCCAGCACTGCAGCCCACTGCCTGGCTCTGGAAGAATGACTCAGGCAGGATGTCAGTCCCTCCCCAGCCCCCAGGCGGGTGAGCAGCCCGGGGCCCTGGGGCAGGGCCCGTCCAGTGGCACAGGGAGCCTGGCCCATGGAGCTGGGGCCTCGGTCCAGATGCAGCTCCACCGGTGTCCAGGAGGGTCCCTTTGCTCTCGGGCCCTCGGCCTCCTCCTGGAATCCAGGGGAAGGAAAGTGCAAGTCCCATTAAACCAATCTTCTTTCAAAGATTTTATTTATTCACTTATCCAGTGGGGAAGGGAAGGAGAAAAAGGGAGAGAGAAACATCAGTGTGTGGTTGTCTCTGCAACGCCCCCTACTGGGGACCTGGCCCTCAACCCAGGCATGGGCCCTGACTGGGAATCAAACCAGTGACCCTGAGGTTCCCAGGCTGGTGCTCAGTCCACGGAGCCACACCAGCCAGGGCTCATTAAACCAACTTTCTAACACGGCCTTCAGAGCTCCGAATTCCAAGCTTTGGGTCCTTTGGATCCTATGGAGATTGGAAATTATGTGAGGGGAGGGTCTGGCCCACCCACATGCAGAACCTGAAGATGGTACCAGGAACAGAGAAGAGGCTGAGAAAACAGTGGGTGAGTTCGGGGACGGCAGAGGGGACTTGGCCATGGGAGCGCCAGGCCCCTGTCACCCGAGTCAGGGGAGCCCTGCTGGCAGCTCAGCCTGCCCTGGGCTGAGGCGTTCTGGCCTCTTTGACTCCACAGTGAGGGTCCCCCTTCACCTGTGCTTGGGGGCCAATGACACAGCCTCTGTGCCTGCAGGTGGCCTGGCACCCTCCTGCTTTAGGGGGGAGGGAGGGGCCCTGAGGGGTGCAGCTCTGAGAGCCCCCAGAGGGCTTGTAAGTGCTCTCCCCTGTTCCCCCAGCACAGAGGTCAGGGCAGCAGCAGGAGCCCACCCGCCACCACTGAACATCTGAGTGTCTTCACTGACTTGCCAGTTCACTCGTTTTCTACTTTAAAAGCAAATATGGGGGGAGAGCTCGTGTCTCCTGGGCACAGCCTCCACTTGGCACCGTGACAAAGCTTCAAACGTGGAGGCTGGTGATGGCCGTGCGTCCCACACGTATGATGCCACCAGACCGCACAGCTACGAAGGGTGGAGATGGTGAGTCCCGTCTGTGTCACAGCACAGCTCCTTCTCCAAGTCCAAGTCCACAGTGAACTACCAGTACATGGTCACGACGACCATGTGACACACGGTGGGCCAGAGGGGAGGCCAGCAGGAAGCAGAAGGGGGGAGGCTGGAGCTGGGACCCTGGGGAAGGTCCCTGAGGAGAGGTGGGCACCTCGGGAAGAGGGGCCTGGATTAGACAGGGGCAGGAGGGGGAGCAGAAGGGACCCCCTGGCAGCCTGGGGCTCAGGCGTCTTCCAGGGACTGTTGCTGGAACGCCACCTCGAGGCGCAGGCAGACTGCTCACCGGCCTCATGGCCCGCAGCCACAGCGCCAGAAGGAGGCGGACAGAGAGCCCACAGGCCCGGCCTCCATTTCCTTTCTTCCTGAACCAGGACGCCCTTAGAGGCCCAGGCCCAACCCTGCAACTGGGCTCTTTTCCTGAGGAAGCCGGGAGGCTGCCCGCACCCCCAGGGCCCTTATCACAGCCCAGGGGGCCCACAGCACTCCCTGGGGATGGCCCAGCACAGATGCAGGGACCCGACACCTGTTCCCGGTCCCTCTGCTGCCACCCTAGTGACCTTCCAGCAGCAGCAGCACCCACCCTGCTCAGCCTCCCAGCCAGGTGCAGCCAGTGAGCCAGTTACCACCCAAGTCAGTGGGGGGGAGGGGTGTCACTGCACAGAGCCCTCCAACTGCCACCCCGCCCTGACCCGCTGTGCAGGGAGGAAGTCAACCCCTCTGCAGGTCTGGCCTTTTTGCCCTGAGCTGCTGGGAGGTGTGGTCCAGGCCCTGGAATGTCCTGACTGGCGGGAGTGTTTCTTAGGACAGGGACCTCAGACATCAGCCTGAAGATGTGACTTAGGGTGAGGGCCTCAGGTCCTGCCACCTCTGGGGAAGAGACCCAAGGTCAGCCACGGGGCCAGTAGGTGAGTAAGCCCTCAGGAACCCTGAACACCAAAGGCTGGGGGAGCTTCCCTTCCTGGCCAGCCAGCGAGTTCTACACCAAGAGGTCTGTGCCCAGAACTCCCCTGGGACCGGGCTGTCCGTCAGAAGCTGCACGTGTGCACTCTGCCCCGAGCACCTGGTCCTTCATTCAGTTCAAACCCGTCTCCTTTTGCTGCACGAAAACTGCAGTCTCAGCGCTTCCCGAGTTGTGATCATTGCAGCACTGACCCACTGGCCCAGCCATGAGCTCCAAGCTGGTGTCTGAAGTGAGGGCAGTCTGGGTACTGGGTGGGTGGGGGATACCATGCCCTGCTACTGTGCAGATGCCAAACTCTGACCTGCCGTGACACCACCTTACTGTTACAGGGTACGGCCAACGGGGAGCCCCAAACTGGGATTTGTAATGGGGTCTAGAACTTGGGGTGTCCGGGAAATATTTAAAAATATGTATGTAAGCACCCCCCCTCCCCTCTAAAGATAAATAAAATCTTAAAAAAAAAAATATGTATGTAAGATGTCCTCACCCCCACAAGTCTGAGTTGGGGGATGGGACACATGGAGCAGGCCACTGAGAGCTGTTTTGTACAGCAACAGCTTTGCAGCTAACCTCTGGCATGGTCATTTAACACATCTATGACTTTAGCTGGTTGCATAGATATGTTAAATAGCTGTGGCAATGCTTTGAGCCAGGGGGATGGAAGTGACTTCCACCCAAGATGTAACTGGGAGGCAACTGCCCTATTACAGTGCCATGCCGGCATGAGCTTGGAGATGACTGGCTCTGTGCCATGGGGCCACACCTGCCCAGACTTACTATGGCAGCCCAGTAAAGCTGGAAACTTACAGGACACTGGCAGGTGTGACTGATTGTGGGAGGAGTCGGAAATGGGGCTGCAGAGGAAGCTTGGCGCTGGGATTTAAACCCAGGCATAGCAGCCATGCAGAGGGCAGGGGGGGCCCCGCAGCTTTGGGGTGCTCCCTTTTGCCACATGGCTTAGGAAGCAGGAAAGACTTTGCCTGGAAGGAAAGGGGTGAAAGGACTCTTGCTGGTGGGCCACGTGGTTTGGGATTAATTGGAGATCGTGGCAGCTACACAGCTGATCGTGCTGGAACCAAGGGGCTGCCTGAACCATAGACTTTTTTCCCTGACGTATGGCACCCGGGACAGGGCGGAGGAGGAAGGACTGTATTTGTCTGTGGGTTTTCTAAAGGACTTTAGTATTTTTAATAAAGACATTAAGTCATTACTCTAAGTCTGTATAACTTCTAAATAATTCCTTTTCTTTTCACCAATCTCTGACACTGAGACATCTCTCCCTGACTGAAGGGAAGGCAAACCTAGGAGGTTGGGGGGCAGGCCCCAGAGAAAAAGGGGGGTCCTTCTGATAATACATCATTCACACACACCGCCACCAGTCTGTTCTGTAACATTACTGTGCTCTTTACCACCTGCCCGCCCCCGGCCAACGGGACCGCGTCCCTGGCCCCACCCTCCTCCGTCCTCAGTGTCGGACAGTCCCCCACCAGAAGGGCTCCACACAGCTCCTTCCCACAGATCTGCCTCCTTGACTCCATCCCTCACCTCAGGCCTCTCCTTCAAATGTCACTTCCGTACCCCAAACTCCCTTCACCCCAAACGCCCACCCCTCCTCCTGTTTCACTTTTTCCTCTTTGACCACCATCGCCATACCCACCACACTCTAAAGCCGATTCATCGTATTTCTAACCCATCTCCTCAGCAGAACGTGAGCCCCAGGAGACACGGGTGACCAACCTCTGATCCCTCCTCTACCCCAGCACCTGGCACACCGCCTGACACAGGCCGAGTGAGCCACAGACTCCTGTGGGTGAAGGGACCCTCGGACACACTGGAAGTACCTGTAGAAAACACTCTCTCCCTGAAAGGCCGAGCCTGCAAACACAGGAAACACACTGCATGTGTCTGGAGAGCAGCCAGAGCCGAGGGCCCCACCAGCGGGAGGAGGCCCGGTGGGCGCCCCAGCCCCGAAACCTCCCCACTAGGAGCTTGGCAGGCCCCTTGCTTTCCGGGCTGCAGCAGACATGTGAGACGCGGGGGCTCTGACCACTGTGGCGGAGGTTCAGGCAGGTGGAGGAAGGGGGAGAAATTCCTGCCAGACAGAGGGGTACAGTGAAGATGGGACCACACCAGGCAGTGCTGACTTTTATTTGAAACTAGAACACAAACTACTGAGAGTTCATCTATTACCTGTAATAGTAAAACAAACAAACAAACAAAGTCCTGGATGCTGTGGCTTAGTGGCCTGCACTAGGTTAGCTCCGGCTTGCAAAACTAGAGGTCACTGGTTTGCATCCCAGTCAGGGAGCACGCCCGGGTTGTGGGCCAGGTCCCCCATTGAGGGCTTGTGAACCCATCACTGTGTCCCTCACACATCGATGTTCCTCTCCCACTCTTCCTTCTGCCTTCCCCTCTCTAAAAATAAAATCTTTCCCTGGCTGGTCTGGCTCAGTGTTTTGATCACCGGCCTGTGAACCAGAAGGTTGCTGGTTTGATTCTCCATCGGGGCACATGCCTGGATTGCAGGCCAGGTCCCTGGTTTGGGCCTGCAAGCAGCACCCAACTGATGTTCTCTTTCACACTGATGTTTCTCTCCCTCTCTTTATTCTGCCTTCCCCTTCCTGTAAATAAATACATATTAAAAAATAATAATACCCCTGACTGGTGTGGCTCACTGGATTGAACACGGACTCGCCAACCAAAGGGTTGCAGGTTCCAATCCCAGATTAGCTCACATACCTGGGTTGCTGGTCAAATTCCCGATAAGGGACGCCCAAAAAGCAACCACACATTGAAATTTCCTTCTCTTTTTCCCTCCCACCCCCCTCTGTACAAAAATAAAATCTTTTCAAAAATCTTTAAAATTAAAATTAAAAAAAGACAGAGATGCCAGAGCCCATATGTCTGGGGCAGTGGAAGGAAAGGGCCGGGGCCCCAGGCACGTAGGGGAAGTGGAGCAGCAGCCCCTCGTGGGGCTTCAGGCTCAGGAGCTCCAGCTCCACAGGGGCGCCGTCCTCACGGCCTGGCTCAGTGCTGAGCAGCAGGTCGGCCCTGGCAGGCAGGCTGACGCTGGCAGGCAGGCCAGATGCCCCCAACCTGGCAGCTTGGGCCACATCCCCAAAGTTGAGCACCACCAGGAAACGCTTGTTCTGGTCCCACTGGCGGAGGTAGGAGAAGAGGTCTGGCCCCGAGGAGAGGACGTGGAAGTCTCCATGCAGCAGGGCGCGCTCCTTGCCCCGAAGATCGCTCAGGCGCCAGAATAGAGTGAGGAGGGAGTCGGGATCCTTGCTCTGCTCCTGCAGGCCATGGACACAGAGCAGGAAGGGATGGAGAACTTCCCAGGCTGCAAACCCCTACAGGGCCCTGGGCGCCCTCTGCTGGCCAGGCCCCGCCACCACGCCCTTACCTGCACTGTCATGTTGGAGCTCCCAGGCCCTGAGCTGTTGGTGGAGCTGGATCCATCCCACAGCATCACTGGCGCCTTTGCTGGCTGGGGAGCAGGGAAAGCAGGACAGGGAAAAGGCTGGGTCTGCGTCCCCTCACCTCTCCTCCCCTCACAGACTCACATGCTCTGCTCTCACTCCCAACTCCCAATGGACAAGCAGCAGGGCAGACTCCCGCCTCAGGTCCTGCACACGCTGTCCCTTTGTCCAAGAGGGCTCTTCTCCCAGACAGCCACAAGCTAGCCCCGTCACTTCCCTCTCGTCTCCGCTCCACTGTCTCAAAGGGCTTTCTGTGGCCACTCATACAATATAACCCCCAGCCCTGACTGGTGGGGCTCAGAGGGTTGGGACTCATCCCATAAACCAAGGGATCTCTGGCTCCATTTCCCACCAAGACACATGCCTGGGTCGCAGGACAGGTCCCGGTTCAGAGCCTGTGAGGCAACTGATTGGTGTTTCTCCCCCACTCTTTCTCCTTGCCTTCCCTCTAAAAAGTAAATTTGTTTTTTATGATTTCCTTATTTTTAGAATGAGAAGAAGGCAGGCAGACAGGGAGAGAACATCAGTGTACAGTTGACTCTCACATGTCCCCACTGGAAACCCAGGCATGTGCCTTCAGTAGGAATTGAACCTGTGACCCTTTGGTTCACAGTCTACGCTCAATCCACTGAGCTATACCAGCCAGGGCCTAAATAGTAAAATCTTAAAAAACAAAAACGAAAACAGAATCACCAAGTGCCTATTCTCTAAGCCACAGGTGGCAAACACAAGCCCCCCAGCCGAATCCGGCCCTCCACCTTGTTTTACCCAAAAACCTGTTTTTACTGGATGGCAGTGCCCAGCTCCTCGCCCCTGGTCAGGGAGTCGTTACACTTATACAGTCCTGAAATTACACCCGGCCTCTGAAGGCAACCACAGGGCTGATGTGGCCCCCGGTGAAAATGAGCTTGACACCTGTGCTCTAAGCCCTGCCACTCGTCAGCACCTGGCCTCGTGAGGACACCCGCTGACTGTCTGACTGCACCGCCTCCAGTCCTCTGGGCGCTGCAGAGCCCTCCGTGCACCACACGTGGGATTTCATTCAACGAGACTTGGTGGAATCAACGAATGACTGGTTCTGTGTCAGCCACGGGGTCACCTCCAAACTCATGACTAGAGCCCAGAGAGTGCATCACGGTCGTCCCGTCACAACACTCACTGCACACACCTGTCTCACTCACCTGGCCCCCCCCACACTGTCAGAGCCTGCAAGGCAGAGCGCCCGCTGCACAATGAATGGGAAATGAGTGAGTGACTGACTGAGCAAATGAGTGAGAGCGTCCACACAGAACACCAACAGGGCCCAGACACTGTATTTGAAGTGAGCCATCATTGAACCCTAACTACCCTACAAGAAATGCAGCGTCACTGGAGAGGCCACAGGAGAAGCCACACAGCTAGCGAGCCCACACCACCACCACCACCACCAGGTGAATGGCCAGGCATCAAACCCACTGCCACCACCAGGCTCATGCCTGTCTGCCCAAACCCACAGAACCACCCAGCTGGATAAACACGACCTCCCCGCTCACACTGGGGAGGCCAAATACCTGTCCGGGAAGGGCCGCTGCCTTCAGGCCAATCTCATCCCCGGAGCTGAACACCGGGGTGCCCGGCAGGGTGAAGAGCAGCAGGTGGTAGAGTCGGAGGAGGTGCGCTGGCACCGCAGAAGCCAGGAGCCCGGCCTGAGACAGCTGTAGAACGGGCGCACTGGTGAGCCCCAAGCCCACCCTGCCCCTGTCTCCCAACAGCCCTGTGCTCCAGAGCACGGCCCGCCCCTCCCCCACCACTGTGGTGCTCACACTCCAGCTGCACCAGCGATTGTCCGTGGCATTCAGATACTGGGTGACCAGCTCTTCTGTCTGCTTCCCAGTGAAACCAGAGGCTGACAGGTACGAGCTGGTCAACAACACGTCCCTGTTCACGCTGAGCAGCCTCCGGATCTCCTCAAGACTGGCCGACTCAGTCCCTGCAATCAGGAGCCTGCAGACAGCAGAGCAGGGGTCAGGGTTGGTACTGGACAAGAAAGAAGAATGGACTAGGAACTGCCCTTTCCCAGGCCCTAGCACTCCTCCAACGGTTCCCACAATGGAGCCAAGGTGGGCCAAGGGGCCTGGCACTCACCTATCCTCACTGAAGTTCTTGGTGATGTTGTGCCACTCGGCCAAGTATGATGGCCCATCCTACAAGACAAAAAGCAGCGTCAAGGACCACCAGGGCCTGGAGAGTCCCGCGGCTCCCATCCAGGCTTGGCCTCTCACACGCAAGGCACTCACCACCAGAGTCTCCACATCCCGAATCTGGAACCCGGCCACGCCAGCCTGCAGCCAAAACTGCAGAGCGTCCTGCAGCGAAGAGGGGCAAAGGAACAGAGAAGGTATTATCACCATCATGCAAAGGCGCAGAAAATTCCAGCCCACGTGAAACCGTGCCTGCCATGCACTTCCCCCAGACCTTGGCAGAGCCCCTTGCATGACAGACCTGAATAGTCTCATGTTCCCACCTCTGTTACAAAGGTGCAGCCTTGGTCCATAGCCGTCATAACCCACCACTGATTCTCTGATACAGCCTTTCTCTCCCTGACCCCTCCCCAATACAAATAATGCCCAAGAGAGAAAGAGTGTTATTAAACAGAATTTTACTTAATACTTAGCATGTGTGGAACGCTGGTATACACCTTTCAGAGATGAGAAAAGAGTCTCAGAGAAGCAGAGAGACAAGCCCAAGGCCCAGTCAGAGAGCAGCAGAGACGGGACTCAAATCTAGTCCAGGTGCCCAGACAAATGTACTGACTCCTTTCCCAGTGTCCTGATGCCTGGGGCTGCAGGCAAGGCCAGTGGGAGCACAGCCAAGAAAGACGGAGTTGACAGTGCACCCCCAGGGCAGGGGAGATGCAGGTTTGAGAGAAGAGCCAGCTCTGCAGAACAGGCCCAGGCCTGAAGCCCTGGTGTTTGTGGAGCACAGAACCAGGGCCCAGTCCCACTGCCTCAGTTTCCCCCATGTTCTTGCTCCATGTGCTCTTTGGGAACACACCACTGTTCATGCCGTTACCATCTAAAAACCTTCTTAATCAGCATCTATGTTATTTTTTTTAGTTTTATTTATTTACTTTTTAGAGAGGAGAAGGGAGGAGAAAGAGAAATATCAATGTGCAAGAGAAACATCAATCAGTTGCCTCTCACATGTCCCAACTGAAGACCTGGCTCACAACCCAGGTATAGGTATGGGCCCTGACCAGAACTGAACAGGTGACCTTTTGGTTGTCAGGCTGGGGATCAATCTACTGAGGAAACAAACCAGGGCCCCTTCTTAATAAATTTTAAAGGGTCCTCTAACAATGTGCTACCTCATGAAATGGATGACCCTTGGGGCCGACGGAAATGCCGGGAATACAGAGCTGTGCCCCGGAAGCAGGACTGCCTCTGCTTTTGTTCCACCCATTCGGAGCTGGTTGGTGTCGCAGAACCCAGGCATTGGGAGCTTGGGTGACTCCCAGCCTGTTGGATATGGACTTTGAGCCTTCCAGGGAAGTTGGAGTCCAGAAATAAGGCTACCCCCGGGACCTCACATCCCTGTCACACGGAGATCTCTGAACCTTGCTGTCCTCACAGACAGTTCTTCAGTGTGCAGAGGACAACATATATAAAATACTGGCATGGTCTCGGACACACAGGAAGACCCCAGGGCCTAGGATTTCAGACTGGGCTGTACTTCAAAAACACATCAAACAACAGCTGGGAACAAGAAATGGGAAACCAGCTGGTCAGATTTCCACTCACAAAGAGTTCCTCTCCCTGAGAAAAGAAACCCAGGTTAACATCTGAGACGCTCCCTTCCTGCCATGGTCACCTTCAAAGACTCAAAACAGCAAGAAAAATGAAAGGTCAAAAAAGGAACAAGCAACAACAGGGCTGCCTGCCCAGCCCCAGCAGGAAGGGCCCTGAGCTGGGCAGGGCCGGGTTCACAGGGCTTGCCGTGGAAGGACCCACCAAGCCCCAGCCCCAGCCCCGCTGCTTCTGCCATCAGCACCAGCACACTCACCCTCATCTTGGTGGCCACCGTGTCACTCTGACTGGGAAGGAACCACTTCTGGCCCCTGTAGTTGGGAGTGAGGTCCAGGATGACCCGGAGGCCTAGAACAATGCAGGAGGAGACAGTTGTGAGGAAGACTGTCAGGTGAGACGGGAGGAAATCCACAAATACAAGTCAAACCCCTTCCTTTGCTTTACTTGCTGCAGAAGCTTAGGGCTGAACCCTGATGGATCTCAGTCCATTGAAACAGAGCAAGGAGGGGCCTTGAAATCTCTGAGGGCAGAAGGTCAATCCTGTGCATAGAAAGGCCCAGCTGTGGGGTCCTGTGCTCCCCCCACCCCCGCCCCACAAAGTGCGAAGTCTCGGAACCACCTGGCGAAACCACTTCAGTCTGAAGCCTAACAAAGCTGCTCCACTCCTGCCCCGGGAAAGCTTAGAGCCAGTCCGGGCCAAACCAGACAAAAATGCTATCCCGACCTTCTTCTGCCTGGAGACCACGCCCTTCCCAGGTGCTCCCTTGCCCACTCCAGGACCCCTACCCTTTTTCTTGGCCAACTGCAGGAGAGTGTCCAAATCTTCCTTGGAGCCAAAAGTGGGGTCGATCTGTTCCAAGTTGGTCCCATCGATGTCATCTTTCTGGTTCTTGTGAATTGGGCCTAACACGATGCCCTTCACTTTGAGGGTGCTCAGGTATTGCAGCCGCTCCTTCAGGCCTGAAATGGAAAAGAGGGAGAGAGTGAGGCGGTCCTAACGGACAGTGCTCCCCTCGCCTCCGCGAACTGCCCCTACCCGGAGCTAAAGTGGGGAGCAAGAGGCTGGATCACGAGACTCAGAGTAGCGGAAGCCAGCCCAACACGTGAGTTCATGAACACGCTGTAATTGGCTCCAAGCTCCGCAGAAAGAGGGAGGGGCTACGTCAGGGGAGGCCGCAGAGACTATTGGGATATTGGTGGGGCCAAGAAGCCTCCCAATCCTCTGGGCGGGGTCAGGGCCGGAAGGGCGGCCAGGTGCGGGTACAGGGTACTCACCAGCCAGGGCGCCCGCATCCTGGCCTTGGAATGCCTGAAGGTTGCTGATGCGGTACAGGGCGCCCTTGTGCCACCAGCTCTGTTCCGGCAGCTCGCGGCAGCGTGGCGCCCGCAAGATGATGACCACGGCCCCAGCCAGCATGCTGAGCCAGCCGACCCAGAAGAGCACCAGCAGCGCCCAGCGCGTGCACACCCAGCCGGGACTGCCCGCCACCTTCAGCAGCTCTTCTTTAGACAGGCCCCTGAACTTGGGCGTCGCCACCTCAGTGGCAGCCACCTTGATCTTCACCATACCGTTCTCGGTGCCGCTGGCCGCCCCGGGCGCCACGTTCCTCAGCTGCATCTCGGATACCAGATGGTTGAGCTCCACTTCTTCTGGGTCCACCTCGGTGTCCTGGCCCATGATGCCTGCGGAACGGGCGACACGGCTGCCGGACGCCTATCTTGTCCTTCTGGCCCCAAAGGCGCCCCCTGCAATTTGAGACATTCCTTCAGCTGGGCAAATTTGTACCCCGCGGGTGGAACAATCAGGAGCCCCGCCCCGGCCCGCCCCTTAAAGTGGAACCTACGTGATTGCTCTTTATCGAAAGCTCCAGAGGGAGGTAGATGGGTAATAGTGTCAGAAATTCGTTCGTGGTCCAATTCCTCTTCTTGAGCCCGGACGCTAAGAAGCCACTTTAGCACGGAGCCACCTTTAAGTGGGCAGAGTGCATGATTTTTCCCCACTCCCTGCGTCCCCACAATTCACTCCAGCCACTGGAAGGTGGGAACCGAAAGGGGACGTCCAGAACTGCGGAGTTCCTGAGGCCCCGCCTCCAAGCCCACCCTGCCTTCTGGTGACTATCCCGACACCATCAGCCCTATTTTTCCCTCGCCCACCCAAGTCTCAGGCTTCTGCCTGCCTACCCTTCCCAACTTCGCAAGGCCATTTGCTCCTCAGACCCAGCCAAACTCACCTTCTGCCCTCTCCCCACCAGGCCTTGTCCTCTTAGGCCTCTGAGACTTGAGGAGACCTCCGCTTCCCACAGGGTTACTCCCATTCCTCCAAGACTCATCCTGAGTTTAGTTCGGTTAATTCATCAGGCAACAATTACTTATGAGATGCCACTACAATACTTGGCTTTCTTCACTTTATTGAACTAACTCTAATCCAGTCTTCTCCAAGACGTTTTATGATGCCTCTGTTTGGACAGGGAAATGCTGACACGCCCAGTCTCCCCCTCCTCCCCCAGTTTCTGGCACCAGGATGACCTGACAGCTAGGAATTCCACATGCAGAGACTCAGCCTCATAGGCACCTCCGGGCTGTAGCCAGCATTCCAGGGCTGGGGCTCCCTTAGAGGCACCCACCTTTCCCCTACAACGGATCAGAAGATGCCATGGTCAGACTATTCCCCACTGCCCAGAGGTCCCCCACTGCTTATCCCCATCTCCCCAGGGTGCCAGAGTCCCCTTACCACACCCCCCATCCCATCACTAAGACAGGTGTTGGAGGCAGCTGGTGCTGCAGAGGCCTTGAAAACCACCCACTGTCCCTGCACGGAGGTCCTTGCATTGAGGCTAATTGGGGCAAAGACAAGATTCATGTCAGCACCATGAGGTGCCCATGCTCTCAGGAACTTCTTGTTCCTGAGCAGTGCCAGCGGGGTTACTTTCAGAGAGGAGCTGATGGAAAGAAGTTCTTTCTCCCTCTCTCACCTGGGCTGGAAGCCAAGATGGCTGTGTATTTGGGAGAAAGCAGAAGCCAAGACCTGAAGAAACAGCAGAAAGGAAAGAGCACTTAAACTCCATGTCTTCAGTGCCCACTGGCACCAGGCTCCCTCATTCTCCACCGGGCCCCGTCCTTTCTTCTCTCTTTCAGCCCCTCCCCTGCCATGGCTCTTCCCCCCCCCCCCCCCCCCCCGAGAAGCCAAAGCTGGCCAGTCTTTCCCGCACATGACATGTATCCCAGTCCCCTGGCCCCTGCTTCCACTACAGACACCCCTGGGACCACCATCCCTGATCCTACACATGGGCTGTCCAGCAGTGCTGGGGGGAAACCTGCTAGCTCCCAGACGGGCTCCGGAATGGAATGGACACAGGGTTGCCGACCTCAGCCAACGGGCCTCATGGTGCCCTGTCACTCTGCTTATACCTGTCTTCAGTCAGCTCCCTGCCTTATTCCCAAAGGGATTCTCGACCTTGACCTCCTTCCTCACAGTCCCTACCCTCCGCCTCATTTCATTGCCTCCTGTGCGTAGTCGAATGAGACAAAACTCTTAAATTTTTTTAAAAACATTTTATTCATTTACTTAGAGAGGGGTAGAGAGGGAGAAAAAGAAACATTGATGTGCAACAAGTCACATCTCACCTGCCCCCAGCTGGGGACCTGACCAAAAACCCAGACAGCTGCCCTGACTGGGAACAGAACTAGCCACCCTTTTGTTCACAGGCCAGCACTCAATCCACAGAGCCACACCAGCCAGGGCTGAAGGCAGCATTTCTTAAAAGAATAATGTGGTTGCTACTAGCTTCCAAATAGACACTGAAGTGGAAGGTCCTGGGTGTTTATTCAAATAATTTCTCCCTTCTCACCTCCAACACTGTTGAGGCCCCAATCTTCACCCTCAACTAATGACCTTGTCTCCTGCTCCACTGACAGAAAGTAAAGCAATCTGTGGGTGGGACGCCCCAACTCCCACCAGGTCTGTGCACCACCTTTGTGCTAACGTGCCCCTCCTCCTCTCCAACCAGCTACCAGAAAGACCCCCCCAAGCACTCTCGCCCGGAGGAAACACCTGAGTGGCCACCACCAAGGTTCAGTCCTCTGCCCAGCAACCCCCAGCAGAGAGGCCCGCCCACCCATTCCCCCATTCCGGTTCCCGGTGCAGCCTGCTTCTGCAAAGTGGTAGGATTGCAGGAACTGTCTCCATTGAGTTTTGTGTTGAAGTCAGTAAAGATGTTAATGTAAATTTTGAAAGATACAAACTTAAATTCAGTTGCCTTGGAGGAAGTGATTATTTTAACCATTTAAGTGATCTTATTTTTAGTCCTGGCTGGTGCAGCAGCTCAGTGGATTGAGTACAAACTTCAAACCAAAGGGTCGCCAGTCCGATTCCCAGTCACAGGCCTGGGTTGCAGGCCAGGTCCCCAGTGGGGACCACATGAGAAGCAACCCCACATTGATGTTTCTCTCTCTCTCTTTCTGCCTCCCTTCCCCTCTCTCTATAAACAAATAAATAATCCTTTTAAAATAATATTTTACTGATTATGCTGTTACAGTTCCATTTTTCCTCTCCTTTACCCCCCTCCACTCTGCACATCACCCCCACCAGCATCCCCACCCCTTTAGTTCATGTCCATAGGTCACACATGTAAGCTCTTGCCTTCCGCATTTCCTATACTATTCTTAACCTCCCCCTGTCTATTTTGTACCTACCATTTGAAAGGTTTTCTTAGGCTCCGCCAAGGAAGAAATGCCAATCACCCACAAAGTTAGGCAGTATAGAGCTTTATTGGGGTTTGCACACCCAGGCAAGGTTCTTCGATCCGCAGAGTGGGGCCAGAGAAGTCGCACCCAAGCAGGGAATATGGCGGGCTTTATTTTGGTTGGCTCTCTTCCTGGGAGCTGGGGATTGGTCCCCTTTGAACAAAGCAGAAATATAGCATTGGTAGCTTTCCTTGGGCTCAGGTTGATATGCGGATATCCGTTTTGGCAAAGCCCGCCCTTTCCGCTCTCTGGTTTGACGCCGTCCTTTCCGGATTGTGGTCCGGGCGCCATTTTATCCTACCCCGCCCATCCTGACACCATTTAGGCTTCTGTACCTTTTCCCCCATTCTCCCCCCTCCCCTCCCCTCCCTGTTGATAACCCTCCATGTGATCTCCATTTCTGTGGTTCTGTTCTATTGTTTCCTTAGTTCGTTTTTGGGTTTTTTTGGTTCAGTTGTTCGTAGTTGTGAGTTTGTCATTTTACTGTTCATATTTTTTTATCATCTTTTTCTTAGATAAGTCCCTTTAACATTTCATATAATAAGGGCTTGGTGATGGTGAACTCCTTTAACTTAAACTTATCTGGGAAGCACTTTACCTGCCTTTCCATTCTAAATGATAGCTTTGCTAGAAAGAGCAATCTTGGATGTAGGTCCTTGCCTTTCACGACTTGGAATACCTCTTTCCAGCCCTTTCTTGCCTATAGGCTTCTTTTGAGAAATCAGCTGACAGTCTGATGGGAACTCCTTGGTAGGTGACTGTCTCCTTTTCTCTTGCTGCTTTTAAGATTCCCTCCTTATCTTTAGTCTTGGCTAATGTAGTGATGATGTGCCTTGGTGTGTGCTTCCTTGGGTCCAACTTCTTTGGGACTCTCTGAGCTTCCTGGACTTGCTGGAAGTCTATTTCCTTAGCCAGATTGGGGAAGTTCTCCTTTATTATTTGTTCAAATAAGTTTTCCACTTGTGGCTGTTCCTCTTCTCCTTCTGGCCCCCCCTATGATTCTGATGTGGGAATGTTTAAAGTTGTACCAGAGGTTCCTAAGCCTCTCCTCATTTTTTTGAGTTCTTGTTTCTTCACTGTGTTCTGGTTGAATGTTTATTTCTTCCTTCTGGTCCACACCATTGATTAGAGTTTCGGTTTCCTTCCTGTCATGGTTCCCTGTACATTTTTCTTTATTTCACTTTCCACAGCCTTCCCTTTTTCCTCTATCTTGCAACCATACTCAACCATTCTGTCAGCACCCTGATTACCTGTGTTTGGAACTCTGCACCTGACAGGTTGGCTATCTCTTCGCTTTGTTGTTTTTCTGGAGCTTTGATCTGTTTCATCTGGACCATATTTCTTCATCTTGGTGCACCCGTTACATAGTAAGGGGCAGGTCATTAGATTTGTCAGGGCGGGGCAACCCATGTCACTGTGTTGTGATGCTGAATGTGAGGGAGGGGTCTGAGAGGGAGCAGTGCAGCTTGCTCAGCTCCTGCCCTGGAAGTGACTTTCAGTCACTTCCCCCACTACCCACAAGCAAACTGGGCCCTTCTGGTTCTAATTCCCAGGCAGGTGGTTTTGTATATGTTCCAGGACCCTGTGGGTCTCTCCAACGAGCTCTCCTGTGAGGCTGGGAGTTTCTCTGACAGTTGCAACCTCCACAGATTTTTACAGCCAGAGGTTTTGAGGCTTTCTGTTCCCACACTGGAAGCTTGGGTTGCGGGGGTCTGTCTCATTCCCCAGTTGTTCCTCCTGGTTGATCTGCACGCAAACGTGGGACTGCCAGATGCCGCTTCACCTGCCCAGTCCTCCAGCCTCCAGGACTCCGGGAGCCTTCTCTGCCCCGGCTGCCCTCTCTGCCCCTCCTACCTTCTGGACGAATGTTTTTTCTTTACCTCCTTGGTTGTCAGAGTTCCATACAGTTCAGTTTTCTGATTGTTTTTTTGTTTGTAAATTTGTTGTTGTCATCCTTTTGTTTGTGTGAAGAGGCAAAGTGTATCCACCTGTGCCTGCATGTGCAGGTCTTTTTCGCTGTAGTGATCCACGTGATTCCAGGCATA